ACTCGCGATGCCACACATTTCTGGTCCGGGAGAAACAATCAAACCACGCAGCGCCAAATCTTCTGATGCTTGCAATTTTGCAAACATGATGAATCATGTTTCTTTCTCGATTCTAAAACTTCTCGGAAAGCGAGAAAACCACCACTCACACACGTATAACCGTCCGGGAGGCAGAGTGCCAGCGCCAATCCGGCAAATGCAGCCGAAAAATATGAAAGCGAACGCACGCACAAAACAGAGAACAAACACAACCGTATCCAAAGGGGTTCCGGGCGCGACTCGAACCATGAATAAAAAAAATCATTGACTTAAAAAAATGCGAGACCTCAGACTAAGAAAATGTTTCATACACTGGATAAAGGAAAAATAATAATCAAGAACCACGTCTTTTCCAGAATTTAAGTAATGAAATAGTTTCAAATTTACACAAGACACACAAATGGTGAAGGCATTATGAACTCTCAAAAAGTTAAATAGCTCGTCTTCGTTATCTTTAAGAGATCGAGCATTCCAATTTAAAATATTTAATGATTTAAAATCCATTACTGAATTTCAAAGTTATGACAATATTGTTCGCAAATTTTACTCCAGTTTGAATAGCATCAAACATGGAGTTAGTTTTTAGCATATCAGTAATCATGTCAGTTACTTATTTCTGTAAAAATTCCATTTTAGCAGCAGCAATGCTTCCTAAGTCAAAATTTTCAAAATTTACGTTAGAATTATGTTGGCTAGAATTTTGATTTCATAGCAGCATAGGTAGCTCCATTTACACGCTGAACATTGTTAGCAGCGGGGGGGGGGAGTAGGTATAGATGAAGAATATGAAGCAGGGGTGATGTTTGTACCTATGTTTGATGTTTGTACGAATTCTAGATAGAGCTGGAATTAGGGCCAATGTCGCAATGGGCTTGAACTGAGAAAAATGAATCTGAAGTTTTGAACAAAAAATATTAAATATAATTTAAACTATAAACCCATTCCTAGAAATGAACTGTTCCTAATTATTACATTATTAGTTAGCATTATGGTGAGATAAATAAAAATATTATTATTTTTATTTACAGCTCGAAAAAAATGAAAATGTTGTATGCGCCCTTTTGATTTATAGTATCTTGTATCGCCCTGAGGTTATTCGCCCGGCTGCGTTCACAGAAGCTATTTCGCCCCTATGTTTCGATTGCTAGTTTTTGACATCATCCGTTTCGCTTAAATGTTTACGTTCTTTTTCCTGATGGTTTGTTACTATCGACCTATTGCAGTTTGTTGGATTCTACATAAATTCATGTGTTGGGGTGTTTTCGCTTATTTCGATCAGATTAACAATGTTTTCTTTTGATTACCAACCGGTAATTGCAAGGAGTAGTGAAAAGATTCAAATTATATCTTTCGCCTTGTATGGAGAAAATATGTCTATTTCACCCCATCTATGTATATGGGAGGAAGCGGCCGTAAGAGCCAACTCAATTTGTAATAAAAAAAAGTTGGTTTCGCCCTTATGTTTTTTGCGTTTTTTTAAGAAAGTACATTATTTGTCCAAACATTTTTAGTATCGTTTTGTAGCATTTTAATAGTAGTATAACGTGATGTGTTAATCTCAGTTTGTTTACACTTGCGACATTCGCCCTTATTCCAGCACTATCTAGGAATGTAGAATTTTTTCCTCACTGACCGTTGTTAACAGCAGAGGAATTTGCACCTGCACGGAGAAAAAATACTACCCAAAATTTGAGTTCTTTTTACTTAATATTGACTTCAGCCTCTCACTTGCACTCGTTATTGTTGTCAAAAAAGGAACGAGATATTCGACCCAACGATATAGTTCAGCCCAATAAGTTACTTTTGAGTAAATTGCATATTCTCAAATTTACGTGAATTAAACTTAATTTTGGGTAGAATATACTTAAGACTAGGTAAATTTTTTTTTGCCGGTGTTAAATGGAAACTACTATATGCGATTTACTCAAATTTGGGTTATTGGGCTGAACCCCGGAATTGAGGCAAAAGTACTTAATTTTGGGTAGTTTTTCATCTCCTTGTAGACGGGAACATGGAGCACTTCCTACCTGTCGTTTCGAACGAGATTGTAGGATCACTCTGCAAGTCTTACATTCCCTAAAATTGGATTTGTGGTTTTCATCACATGTTCAATTCATGTTCAAATTTTTATTTTTTTAGGATCTTCCTTCACACAGTCGTCCTTTGCGTGAGAGATTTCACCACAATTCATGGATTTAGGTGGTATGTAGCAATTTTTGGTTCCGTGACAACAACCCTGGCACTTACGGCACTGGGTAGGGTTTTGTAAATTTCCTACACCCTTCATAAAGTGTTCCCGCTTCACTCGGACATGAAGCATGAGGCTAGATTTTTCTAAGACCTTAAAGTTGTTTAGTTTACTAGACTTTTGAAGTGAACTAAATAAAAATCATTGGAAATCCCGTTGCATGAATCGCCAGAACGGGATTTCATTTTGATTACTTGGACAGGTTCAACTCCAAGTAATTTAGTCAATTCATCTTTGATCTGATCCAGGGATTCACCACTGGGCAGACTTTTCAAGACGTTCAGTTTTGGTGTCATAAGTAAAAAATGTGTATTGCTTCTCAGTAAGGTATTTGAGAAGACGTATGAATCCGTCCAAGGTTTCAGCCAATACACGGCATTCACCCCGACGGCCAACTTGAAGTGAAAACTTAAATTGAACGAAGTTCAAAAGTGCCTTGAGAAGAGCACGGAAATCGGAAGTGGTTTGAACAACGTTTTCCTTTTGGCATTATGCCGGGAATGTTCAATGGAATTTTGCCTGGCTGATGGATCATTCTCATCATCCGTAAGCATATCAAATTGATTGCTCAATTGAATTTCATCAGAAGAGGGATCAAGCGATTGCCCTTCTATTTTGCGCTTATGTGGCATGGCGGCAGAACCAAGTTTATCCAAATCGACTTCCAAGCAGATTACTATAAAAATCCGAAGTATCGAAGATGTATTTTCTAAGTTGATATCCAAGCTGGATTACCTCGGGTGGGGTCCAAACAAGGATCGAAGAGGAATAAGAGTCAAACAAGGTGCTGTTAAAATTTGTTGTAGTTTGATATAGGTAGTACACATCCTTGAGCAAAAAGCAAATAAATCCGAACGGCAAGAGAGCACGATGTGGACTGTGCGAGACGACGATCTTGAAGTGCGGATGTTGGTGACAATGTAAGTAGTGGTGGAAACAAAACGATGTGATGCGGCTTTGAATGGCTGGTTTCCTTGAAGAGCGTTGCTGGCTGCATGAAGCACTAACACTTGATCACATTAGAATTGAGCACTATATAAACAGAGCTTTTAAAACTGAACTGCCTTGGCCGGACGCTCGACTGAGAATGGAATTTGATATCATTAGTGATGATTTTTTACGGTGATCAAATTACCCCACATAAATTTACATGATTTTTTTTTTCAAATGGTGTAGGTGAACAGAATTTTTTAATAATCAAAAGAACACATCTTAGTACTTTTTATAATACTTGTTACTTTGTTTGCCTTGAAAATAGTGACAAAAACAGGGTATCACAATATCAGCTTCAATCGACAAAGTCGATGCGACGAAGAGACTGCTAACTTTCTTTTTCTGTTGAAGTTTAACAGCTTCACAGCATTCTGGAACCTCAGTAGGCGTTTAGAATCGATTCCTTGCAATGAAGGCAAGAATGAGCCCAAGGAATCAATTCTAATTGAGTCCCGCTATTTATACCCTTCGGAGTGTTGGAACACCCTCCAAAGGCGCGCCCCTTTGTCAGTCAAAATTGAATTCCTTAGCAACAAAAATAAGCACTGACACCGATAATGACCATGCATCAGAACCCTAGTATTAACCACTTCAAACTATGGAACAACGAATATAAGATTAGGAATCACATAGATGAAGCTAGCTCATTTTTTCCTTGTTTCAAGATCATCCTCGGTCCAGGCAACCCGATGACTTATCACTATCAACAAGGCATAAAAATTAACAAAGACTAAGATGTGTTCCTTTGATTACTGAAAAATCCTGTTCACCTAGTTTTAAGTAGTCAAGACTAGTAATCGGTGGTAGATCTTACATCCCGTAACGTACCACGAAAAGGTGATCTACCCACGATATGGGTGAAGACTCATGTTGTTCCACCGGGGATGATCTTGAAACAAGGAAAAATGAGTTAGATAGTCTTCATCTATGTGATTCCTTATATTCAATTCGTTGTTCTCTAGTTTGAAGTTTTGAGATGCATGGTCAATTTCGATGTCATTTCTTGATTTTGTAGCTGCGGAATCCGATTTTGACTGACAAAGGGGCTGGGGAGTGCTCTAGCTCTACGAATGGTATAAATAGTGGGACCTTTCAGTTAGAATCGGTTCCTTATGATGAAAACAAGAATGGCAACTATATTAAAGCCGAATACTTCATCATTTTTTCAAAAGTGATGGAATATCACTGAATTAAGGACAAGAAAAATACTACAATAGATTAAACTACTACCCGCAGTGGTTTTATGTCCCAAACCGATGAAAAAGCAGTACTAAAGTCACACATTGGTGATTTTCATATATATCATATATAATCTGGTAAATGACTCTGGTTGGTGTGAACGAGACATTTGTCTAATAGCCATTGTTCTTGTATCACGAAAACCGCGTATAACATATTACATTTCCTTTGTCTGAACATGGCGTTAAATCTAAAATAAGCACAATACCTAAAAATGTAGCAATTTGTCTGAAAAACTGATCAACGAGTCCCCTTCTCCTCTACCCAATAATAAATACTTAAATACTTCCTAAATTCCTGTATGAAAGCTATTAAAATGTATTTTTAGATTCGTACACTACAATGAAGTAACATTTATATGTTCTTGGTTCGACTATGATCATTAGTTTCTAATATTGATTATTCGAGTTACTGCACCTATTATTTCCATCAATAACCACATTGCATAATGAGTTTCTACTTTTTGTTTCCTACGCTCTAGATAAATCATCAAAGTGAGCGAAATCAATTATTTATGCGACACAGTACCGACAACATTCATGCTATTAATAAATTTCCGTGCTGCTCTGGTTCCACCATCGGCATAAATGGTGGGATGGGCCAATACATGAATCACAACAGCAACAGTGACAACAGTAATAATACCAATAGCAACAGTAGCTCCAACCAATTCAATGTAACTAGGACCAACAGTACAAATACCACCGGTGAGCACGACACACATGGAACAGTTTCCACGGCGTCAGTTGATCAGTCGAACGATAGTAATCACCACGTGGCTGATAGCACAACTTCTGGTTACCATGGTAGCTCGCAGGAGTCAATGAGTGAAACGGACACCGCCAAACAGGATGTACCGAATAGGAAATCGTTGGATGATATTATGGAAAGCCCTCTCCTGAAAAGCCCCGTGGAAAAGTGGCTCGAAACACAGGACAAAGCCTTGGATCAGATGCGCATCAACGATGATCAAAATCGAAGGTAAGATTAAGATTTATCAACTTTAGACTAAGAATATTGTGTTTCAAGCATGTAGCAGTGGTGTTGCGTGAAAAATAAACAAGTTAAAAAATGCGTTCGATCAAAAAAGCTCGAGTTGTACCAAAAAATGCATTCAAATGTATCGAATACTGCCATTAACATAACACGCACAGTTACATGCATAATACAATATCTTCAAATTTAAATGCTCTACACTCTTGTACTTCACTTCACATCTAATTGGCTATTCTTCAACCTCTCCTAATGACAAAATAATCAACCTCAGTCCTGATCTCTACAGCAAAATATTTGGTCCCAGAATAACAAACAACGAAAACATACCAGGAACACCCATGGACCCACCAAACATAGCTTCGGAAATCAATAATAGCATCAACTCCACCTCGCAAATTAGCATGGCAAACGAAAGACGGCGATCATCAACCAAATTGCTAGGAGGAAGCTCTCCGGTCAAGGCAGAACCTTCTACTCGTTATAGCACAGACAGAACATCTACTAACAATAGACGGCGAACATCTCAGCAATCGGATGACACTCGGAGGTCCAGTAAGCAAGATAAGGAGGTATGATTCGACACTTCTCAAGTAGCCATTTTGATTTTATGAGGGTTCTTCAGACCATGATATATACACTTTAAAGCCTCGAAAAAACGTGGGTTAATTGCGATTAGCGTTGTAGAGTAGAGTAGTAGAGAGGGCGCTTGGGGAACTGGAATTGAGTAGCTTGCATCTTTAATTTTGCGAGGTAAGGTACACCGGGGCAAGTTGAAATGCTAGGTAAGTTGAAACGGAAGCCAAAACTACAAGCGAAAGTGAGTTATCGCCGTGATTATGTTTAACAGTATATTATAGACTTAAACGCATCCTATGACTGTCAAACAGCTTAGCGTGCTCCTCAGCTTTGTTTATTTTTATTTTATATGAAATTTACAACACACATGTTTTACGCATTACATCTCAAAAAAGTTGAATTTTATGTATTTTACCAATTACTCTTAGAAATGATTACCGACTTTGGTAATTTTTACCGAACTTCAAACAGCTGAACTGTTCGGTAAAAATCAGGCATACACTAAGAAAAAGTACACCACAATGGTATGAATCGATTATTTTAACGGGGGCGACCCCGGCGTTAGCAACCATACCGCTCACGCCAAAGTCACGAGTTCAAATCTCACCCCCGAACAAGTCACGAATGACCCAAGAGCGTTAAAGTGACTATAATAATAAAAAAAAAAAAGATTATTTTAACAAGGCTGAAAGTGTTTCGAAATTAAAATAAAGTTCTAAATTTTTTCATGGTAGAAGAGGCTTTCACAAAACTGTTAGTGCAAAAAACTACGGTTTGTGTTACTTTATGATTTTTCTAGAGGGCCTCAAATTTCACCTAAAAAAAATCCATTTCAACTTGTTCCGGTGTACCTTAATGGTATCACGGGCTCAAATTAAAATTAAATATCCCAGACTAATGATTTTAAACTTACGATACGTCAAGGCAACAACTCCAAGTAACAATTCAGCAACCATTTGGCATCCACTCTGATTTATGATGGTCTTCTAACGGTAATGAACAATCCTTTTAGTTTAAATACAGCATTTCAAAGTGAAAAACATTCCTGCTTTGAAATTCAGCTTTTTGCTGTTTTAAAAACCTTTTATAGTCTGGCGAGAACGTCAAAAATTGTCTTGTTTTAAATTAATTTAAAGCAGCTCTCAATCCCGCCAAAAAACTGTGCAGAAATGCAATTATAAACTTCATTAGCAATTGTATATGAATGGCTTGATTAAATATTCTATAAACGTGTTCTACACGCAGAAAAATTTATTGTTGAAACAAAAATATTTTAGGTAAATTTAAACGTAAACTCAGTTTGTTCTGGCCACAAAAATAAAAAAAGGTTTATTTCAAACGTATTCCATGTTTGAAGTCATGTGATTTTAATGTTTAAAATAAAAATAATGTTACGTTTATTTTAAAAATATTCGTGTTGAAAATAAACGTAAATATTTTTGTTTGGTTTGAAAACTATGCGAACAAAAATAAATATTTTTATTTTGAACATGCTTCAAATGTTTGAAAGAAACATACTTAATTTTAAATTATATTAGCATTCGAATGTAGGATAAAGCAAAAAAAAAATGGATTGCAATGAGACGAAAAAATGATCTGCAGACAGGGCATCTAAACTCCTGCTCTTTTTCGGGTGCGATTAAGGGTGGCCTGTGGATGTTGGGGTCCTGGTCCGACATGCGGGGACCCGTCGGGATGAGTGTCCGGAGATTCCAGTTCAGTAAAATCAGTGAAACTTTGTGATATTAGCGTCACTTTGTCGTTTCTAACGCTGGTCCTCATACCGGCCTCTTTCTACGTTCGGTGTTGGAGGATCCGGAATAGATTCAAAATCCATTTCGGATTTTCGTTTTTTTTTTTTTTTTGTGAAGTTGTGAAGGAGGATGATACAGGGATCGGCATCAGAAACGACAGAGTGACGTCGATACCACAAACAAAGTGACAGACGGAGCGGCTCGAAAACTTTGGTGACTAACCTGCTATTTCAATTTTTCAGTGTACCACATGGCAACACCACTACTACTGGATTGTACCACATGGCAACACTACAACTGGATTGTACTAGCATTTTCATCAAATGTATTAGAATGTTTTGGTTCTATCTCTTTCACTCTACTCAAAACTGAAATGCATAAAAAAATGACAAAATGATACACTCTTTGCACACTGTCAAAGAATCATTGTACACAAAATCAACTTTGTTCAAATCAAAACAAAAAAAACTAACCCATCTGGTGGATGATGGCACAAGCTTCCAAGAAAATTCTATTACAGTGAACCACATTATTTTAATGGATTTCTTCGCCAGTTAGTCGTCTGTCACTTCGTTTGTTCAACCGGTTAACACTCGTGTTTATTTCAGTTACCGTGGGGACGTAATTTATGATAAGTCCCGGTCCCTTTCAAATTGTATCATTATTTATGTGCGGTCCTTATTTGAAATGACGTTTCACATTCATATAGTGATGGCCGATTTTCATTCGAATAATCGATTAATCGATTAACGAACCGAAAAGTTAAATATTTGTAATCGGTTATATCATGCTGATATAAGCATTAACTTCTCCAGAGGATCATCACCGATCGTTTCAAACATGTGCTGCACTCTCATTGGTGGAAAAATGGCTACACAGCGAACAAAGAAAATCGATTAGTTGTTGATCGAGTAATTAAAAAATGGGACACCTCTGATTTGGATGTCATTGTTTTGATAAAAAAAAAAAGAGCGCAAAATATCATCTCTACTGAGGGAGTAGCAAAACCACAAAATTACCTTGCATACGGGGGGTACTCATTGGATGAAAGGGACCGTGAAAGAGGACGCTAAAATCGAAAGTTTTTCTTTTGACTGTTTCATCTTAGTATTCATCTTTGGTATAACCTTTACTCAACTTCTTTACAAACAAATCTGGCGAACTTAGTCAGCTACTTATGGCTGTTGGGACAAGCTCTTATTGCATATCTTGTTACGCTTCTATACAGCTGAGCTGTTATCCTGCTGTTTAAGTTGTGTGTGAACTTGAAAGGCGCTTACTTAACCTTTTTACCCGATTATCCAATAATCTCTACACAGCTCTCTCTTGACGCCAGGTTAAATATTGTTTACGCTTTTTTTGTTGGAGGAATTTATCATGTTTATTTTACTGCGAATCAAATTAATTGAAATTAGTTATAGTCACACCACCAAATTATTTACACTGTGCCGGAACCTGGAATCAAACTCGAGACGACCGCATTGGCGAACCTTGATACTATCAACTTCGCTACGCCAACACTTTGAACTGACGTAAACAAAAATACATGCCGTTTTACAACAATATCGCTGAGTAGAGGCTTTTTTATAGTGCACGTGAATCACTTTTCTCGACTAGTTAATTCAGCTTTATAAAGAAGCAGCGTAGAAGCTGTAAAACTGCACACGTCTAAAATTAACCTAGTTGACTGTAAAATAGCTTCCAAAGTAGCGCTAGCACAGTTTATTAGTTGAGTACAGGTTGTTTAGTTGTTGAAAAAGCACTTTTGATGTTTATGTTATTCAGCAAGAGTGGCTGGTTGTGTAGAAGCCATCAAATAAGTAATATATTCACTTTAATAGCTTTGTTTTGCAGCTAAAATTTGAAAGTTGATTAATATTTGCATAGAAGTGACATTAGCGTTTATTGGCTGTTGTTATTCAGTTCGATGAAAAAATTGAATAATGGTTGTGAAAAAGTTGAGTTTCAGCTACTTTACAGCACAACGTTGGAATAGTTGGCTTATAAAGCTGAAAATGTTAGTTGGGATGCGCTTCCACCGTCACCAAATGAGAATTTAACATAAGCGCGACAATTTAAAAAAAATACACATCGTGCCCGGAATCACGGGAATGAACAAAAAAAACTTCAAAAACATAGTCAGATAGCATAGACAGGTTTTGCGTGATCTCATTTAAGTAGACTGGAAGCTCTGCTTACTGATCATCAGCAAATAATCAGACATTTGCTTGTTTTATAGGATTTCGGCAAAACTAAAAAGCTAACAGGTACCTACTGAATTCCAGCAAACAGTTAGTCCAGCAAATTGATTAGCTGAAACTCAAAATCAAAATTTGGTGTGGAGGTGTAATGGGGCCAATACACAAATTCAGTACACGGGCGTATTACCAATTGTACTACAGGTACACTTAATATTCGGCTAATGACGTATAGACTATCTAATCCACCACCCGGAGTACCACATTTAATTTGCTAAAAACGATATACACACCTGTCTGCTGCTCGTTGCCTACTTATAATTTCTAGATAAACATTTCAAAAGGTCCTATCTGCTTTGATCGATTTTCTCTTTTGATAACCACGGATGCACAAACAAATATTACGCTATTTTTACCACATAATTCGATAAAGGTTCCCTTCTAGCATGCAGAACATAAAAAAACAACAGGGAATGTTGTTGCACTGGAGTTATTGAAGAAAGATAAAATCGATCACTGCAGATAGGACCTTTTGAAATTTTTATCGAGATTTTTCTTACGTCAAACCAATCCCAAGAGAGAGCTGATTTCTTACGCCCAGATTCTAAGAGGACCATGCTTTATTATTGAATTATGTTTTTTTCCCAACAGGGTCTTGATCCAGAATCCTTGATGTTTCGTGATGGACGGCGAAAGATCGACATGATTTTATGTTACGAAGAAGAAGATGAAGGCGTGATGACTGAGATCGAATCACTAAAAAGGCACCAGCGCAAAGTTTTCCAAGAAAATTTGGTTAAAGAAGGTCTGGAAATTGAAGTTGAGCACAAATCACAATCGTTTGATGAGAAGACATACTTTATCAAGGTTCACATACCTTGGCGGACAGAATCTCGCTATGCGGAAGTTATGAATTTGAAGCTACCGGTGAAGAGATTCATTACTATCAGCGTGAAGGCAAGTTAACCCTAATTATACAACAATAATTTAGCAATTAATAACTTAGTCGAGGAGTTTTTAGACAAACTTCTACCAGAGATTTTAAGCACATGAAACAATAGAACCAAAATGTTGATCAACGGCAAAGTTCGAGTGACAGAAATTGGAAAATATTAATTTTAACGAAATAAGGACCTTTTCTGAATAAAATATTTGGTACAGGTGCTGGGTAAATTTTTTACAACACAGCCCACCGTCCTATATACATAATATTAACAGATTCCCGCTAAAGATTCATAACATGACCGCTCAACATCATTTCAGGAAGAAGAGTCCACCTTAAGAAAGCACCAAAACAAATGGCTGGGCTACTGGACTAAGCTCATGTCCATGACTGAATATAATTACAGTCGAATCGAGAAAGAACCATCGTTCTATTCAGCGACGGCCAACGGCAACCCGGAAGAACAATTCATTGTCAAGGATCGATGCACCACTTACAACAGTGCTCAGCGGAGCTTGATAGTAATGCAAATTCTGATGAGAACCCGTTTCGATGAAACCGAAAAGGCCAACTATGTCGGAATCAAAAGATTGTTGAATGACGGCACATACCTGGCATGCTTTCCCCTGCACGAGGGTCGATACGATAGGAACCATTCATCAGGAGCTTTATTCGATAGGAGGCTGCTCTATTTGGAATGGGCTAGACCAGTGAAGTGGTACAAAAAGCAACCATTGTGCCTGATTAGAAAGTACTTTGGCGACAAAATAGCGCTTTACTTTTGCTGGTTAGGCTTCTACACTAAAATGTTGTACGCTCCTGCAATCGTTGGATTGTTCTGTTTCCTATACGGGTTGGCATCCATGGATTCAAGTGATAACATTCCTACGTGAATATTCTCAGAATTATTTGCATTACGGAAATAGTCAATTTTAATACTTCTTTCATTTTAGGAAAGAAATCTGTGATGAAAATGGACCCGGAAACATCACATTGTGCCCGCTCTGCGATCGTGCCTGCAGCTATCAGCAGCTATCGGAATCATGTTTATTTGCTCAATTGACCTACCTATTTGATAACCCATCGACGGTGTTCTTTGCGATCTTTATGTCTTTTTGGGCAACAACTTTTCTCGAGATGTGGAAACGTAAGCAATCCGTTCTGATTTGGGAGTGGGACCTACAGAATATTGAAAATGAAGAAGATACACGACCCGAGTTTGAAACATCCGTTAAAACGTTCCGTACAAATCCGGTGACTCGCGAAAAAGAGCCTTATATGCCAACATGGGACCGTGCCATACGATTTTTCGCCACTTCTAGTGCCGTGCTCTTTATGGTACAGTATGTCCGAACATATCCGATAGAACATTTGCTAATATTTCGAAATTCCCCATTGCAGATTGCAGTAGTTCTAGGTGCCGTTCTGGGAACTATCATTTATAGAATTTCACTCGTATCTGTGATCTATAGTGGTGGAGGAAGATTTTTCCGCAAACATGCCAAATTATTCACCACAATGACTGCTGCCTTAATCAATCTTATAATAATCATGATTTTAACTCGTGTAAGTTCTTTCTTCGGCGTTTCAATTTCCACAAACAATAAAACCTAATTATCCATTTATTTAAAGATTTATCATAAACTAGCTATCTACCTAACCAATTTAGAAAATCCACGTACGCAAACGGAGTACGAGGATTCGTATACAATCAAGATATTCGTGTTCGAATTCATGAACTTTTACAGCTCGCTGATCTACATCGCGTTCTTCAAGGGACGCTTCTTCGACTATCCGGGAGATGACGTGGCACGGAAGAGTGAATTTTTCCGTCTAAAAGGCGATATCTGTGATCCGGCTGGGTGCTTGAGTGAACTTTGCATCCAGCTAGCAATTATCATGGTGGGAAAACAATGTTGGAACAATCTGATGGAGTACTTTTTCCCGTGAGTATATTCAAGCCTCTTGGGATAAACCATGTATAATGTCATTAAATATGACAGATGAACATAACAAATTTCACAGTGAAACCAGTATTATTATGAATTGGGTTGTTAGAGGAATATTCATAAGCGTGAACAAGCTATTAGTTAACCATTTAATTCCACTTCGCATTTTGTACCCATGACAGATACATATTTTGACTACAATGGCAGTAATCATCAGAAGTGGGATGACACTGATGATCACTGCACACTGGTAAAGTCCCGGGGAGAGTTTTAGGATTCAATCCTCCCCCAGAGCCTTGTGGAAAATATATATAATTCGTGACCAACAATTGAAAAGGCCTCAACTCCTTTTTGTAGACAAACCTTGTAAGGCCATTTTCTCGCGAACCGACATTCGTAAACCTAAAACACAATCAGGTAGAGGTAGGGTTACCATATGCTATCCTAAAGGAGGACATGTCCTCCTTTTTCAATAATTTTTCTACATCCTCCTTTTTCCCGAAAATGTGCTCCTTTTTAATCCTTGCATTTTTTTTGTTAAAATTGTTTTCAAAGAGCGTTGTTTACAGAGCTTATTTGTTTCACCCCATCTTATCTAGCAAATGCCATTCAATGGTGGGACTAGGAGTATACTACAGTTGTCAACCCCCCTACATTTAGGCTGCGATCCTTTTGATGAATTTTCACTTAAATTTGACAGATGGAAAATTTTCAAATAAACTTGCTTATTTCGGACAGACCAGGAATCAATTTTGACAAATAATTTCTCGAAAGTCGGATGATTAACATCAGAGTGATCATTATAATTTATTTTTGAAGTATCAGTGAAAATTTATCAAATGTAACACAGAATCAGGCTGCGATCCATTTTTCTGAATGTTTACATAAATTTGACATTTCGAAAATAAATTACTATGTTCGGATATCTCTCTGTTGTTGATCAGTGATTTTCGAGAAGGTGTTTGTCAAAATTAATTCCTGGTCTGCCAGAAATCAGTCTGGTACAATAGCATGTTTATTTTAAAATTTTCTATCAGTCAAATTTAAGTTAAAATTCACCAAATGGAACACAACTACATAGATTGAATCCAACATGTGTTCGATTTTGACGTTCTGGTTCTATGGGATTTTAGGTATTCTAAGCATAACTATTCAAATCGACGTATCTGATTTTGCAAACAATCTCTTCAATCGACGATTTGTGGCACCTGCAAGCTCACTCACAGAAACTAACAACACTAGCTAGTAGGACAAAGATTTCCCTACCTGATGATGGTGTTTGTTTGCGTGGGTGAGTTAGCAGTTAAGACAAATCGTCATGCTGAGAGCGAAGAGGCACGTGAAGCGTGAAATCTTACATTCGAATATCATGATATAATAATATCAATAATAAGAATTCTTTTGTATAGAACGCTAAGCGCGCCTCTTCGCTTCCACGGCCTTAGAGTCCTATGCTGAATCAATGGTAAAATTAACAGGTTGCTTATAGTACGTTCAGACTACAGAGTTATAACATGTTATAGCACTATCTTGATGGTGGTTTCTGTGTTGCAATTATTTGACAACCGTTATAACATGTTATAACTCTCCAGTCTGTACAGCGTTTTAGATGCTCTATGTTGGTTTCAATCAGCGATGACATGTATCCTGATTTTTGTACATGATAAAAGTTGGGATGGTTTTAAAGCTGTAAAGCTGTAGTTTTCATGCAAATCAGCTAGACTAGATCATTTTCTAGTATCACAAGTTAATTATGAAGGCTAGTTTGATGCATTTTTCAGAAGTATAACGAGAAGATGAATTGAATTGATAACGACTACAAGTTATGAACAATCTCAATTGAACCCTTTACAAATCATGAATTTTGTGATAGCGCACATATTATTAAAACGTTTGATAAAAACTTATTGTCCTCCTTTAATGTTAAAAAAAAGGAATAATTGTCCTCGTTAATCTCCAAACCTCAAGTTTCAAGTTTTTGATATGGTAACCCTAATAATGAGTCACGCCAAGAGAAAAACAGTTGAATTCGCATCACGGTTTTCGAAAGATTCCCTTTCTTTTCACTTGGCAACAGAGGACTTCTGCATCAACTTCAAATGACTTCTACCGAAGAAAAAAAGTAACGGCTGTAGTACACGCAGAAAAAAAAATTTTTAACGTTATAATATTTGACGTAAAATCAATAAGAATTTCATTTTGTTTTGGCTGCAAAAAGAAATCATTATTTTTTCAACAATCCAGCATTTTTGTTAAATCAAAAAGAAAATCCTTTCGAATTTACAAGAGTTTTAATGGTTTTGACGTAAGCTGTCAAATTTGGCAGCTGGGTCAACAACAAAAATATGTTTGTTTTTAAAAGAGATTTCTTGTTGATTCAATCATATTTATTTTATGAAGTCTGACAATTCACGTAGAAGAAATAAAAATATGTTTGTTGATTCAAAAATCCGGAGTGATTTGAGATTTGGGCGTAATTGCTTTTGTAAACGTCACGTTTTTACTGATTTCTCTTGAATAAAAGCTCAATCTCACTAACAAACTATTCCAAATGATAGAGGAATCATTCCTCTACCTCAAAGTGTTATTACTTTTCGAGATTAAGCTTTTATTCGCGAGAAATCGGTGATTGACGTGTTTGTTTAAAAATGCAATTACGCCCAAATCTCAAATCACTCCAGAAATAATATGGCCAATTTTTTTTTTATGTTTTGTTTTCTTTTTCACTGATCATCCTTCGGAAGAGAAGTAAAGCCGTTGGTCCCCGGTTCATTAGTTGATGGGTCGATATGTAGGGTCCAGGTGTGGGAGCTGCCTTCCTGTCGTCGGGAGCATTGGTACTCAGTACGGAAAACAAGATCGACGGAAAAAAATCAAGGAAAAAAAACAGAAAACTGATTATATTTAGCAACTGCAGCTCGAACTGCAGCATACTTACTAACCTAAAGTCTCAAGATTTTCGGAAATTTTACACTTATTTTCCGAAATTGTTTTGTTATTGTTTACATTTTTGTCTGGGTGAAAACGAGGGAATGGTTGGTAGTTATTTTTGCATTCATGGCCCGGGGAATGGACACAACAAATAAATGCAAAATTAAAATTAACTATTGCTGGCTTAATAATAGAATATTGTTATTTTTACAATAGTTGAAGTTGAAAAGTGGCTTATTAAAACAAAAAGAATCCTATTTTGAATTTACATGAATAAGTATTATCGTAACCACAAAATGCAATGTTTTTTTTGGTTCCATGCAAACAATTTTCTGTCCGTGTACACTCAAAATATTTTCAACTCTCCTGACCGACGCATAGCTCGGTATAAAGAGAGAGAGAATACACACTTAGTATAAAAATGGTTTATACATGGAATGGTATAAAGTCGAAGTTTTCCTTAAATGTATATTTTGTGTTAAAACGCCAGATGGGTGTTTTATATACATAGTTTCAAGCAAATTGGTTTGTTGTTCTGAAAAACGATATTTTACTTAAAAGATGGAGACGTTCGAGTGTACCGTTTTATTCTTCAAAATTAAGATAATTTTGAGCAGTAGCTATGGCTGAGGCTGATACACCATGTGGCAAGTGGCGAGTAGTTCTTCTGGCTCTTTTAACAGCATCCGTGGCGTTCGTAATTTTAATTTCGGTCGGTTCAATTCGTGTTACGAAGCAGCCACGTCCGGATTCATCCAACATACGTTCTAGCAATTACAGGGTGTCTACTACCTGGAAAACCCTGGAAAACCGGGAATTTACAGGGAATTTATTTTTTTCTGGAAAAACCTGGAATATTCAGGGAATTTTGGTTCCACTCAGGGAGTTTTCCAATTATCACTACATTCGTTATTCAAAAGATGTTTTTCGTTCAGTTTTTCGAAACGTTTCTTAAGGGCACTGAACTTGACAAGCATCTGACAGGTAAGACAACGTGTGCGAACGAGACAAGTTCATTCAGAGAGTCTTGTCACGCTCGCTCTGCGCTGATTTGTACGTGGAGGATCAAAATCGTCGTAAAAGGAAACAGTCGAAGAAGAGAGACTGGCAACCGTCAAAAGGAAGCATGCGAAGGATGTTTTGTATAAGAATAAGCATGCCAGACAGCAGGTCTGAGAGCCCACATAGAATTTTTTTTTTTGAGCTTCAGAGAGGGTCGGAGATCTACTGAGAAATTTGTTGAGCTTCAGGGTAGTTCGTAGATCTTGAGAACAGAACTACAAACAAATTAAAAGTAATTAGCAGAAATTCATAAAAACAAAATCACAAGAGAGGTCGTAGATCTTCAGATAAATGTTCAAAGAAATTTTCAAAACTTCAAGCAAGCAAAAATAATTTCAAATCAATTTGTAAAACTATAAGCTAAATTTTGCAAATCTTCAGGGAAATTCGCATAACTTCAGACAAGTCCAAGAATGTACAGTGAAATATAAAGTATTTCACAGAAGTTTGGGGATCCTCGAAACATAATTCAACATCAGAAAAGTTCGTAGATTTTCAGAACAAAGCTACAGGACTTCTGAAAAAATCACAAGAATCTCAGAAATGTTAATGGATCTTCAGTAAAAATTTCAGAACTTCAGGGAAGTTCGGCGATTTAAAAAAAATATTTACACGATTTCAGGAAAATTAGTAGATCTTGAGAGAGACATTTAAAACTTCAAGGAAGCTCAAATATTTTCAGATAAATTTTGGCAACTTTAGGTAATCTTCAAGGAAATTTTCAAATCTTCAGGGTAACCCGAGAGGAATTTACAAAACATCAGAGAAGTTTGCAGATCTACTGTGAAATTTATTGAGCCTCAAGATTTTTTCTTAAGACAACTTTACAGAACTTTAAAGATATTTGCAGGAATTCGACAGAAAGTTTCACAGTTTCACACAAATGTGAGATCTTCCGAAAAATTCGTTAAATGTCAGAAAAGCACCTCAATTTCCCCTCCCCTTGGCTAGTTTTTAACCTGGACGTTGGTGGGCGGGCCCAATCTTATGCTTCATAGTGGAGC